GGGGGGGGGTTGTGTGTGTGTGTGCATGTAATGAGTGTTAATTCAAGGCTGTTTGCTCCTCCTCACTCAGTCTAGTCTCATTTCCATGTCGAAAAAAAAGGGCGGGCAGCGGGTAACGGCAGTTTTAGGTCATATTGCATGGGGGGGCATGATAAAAAAAAGGTAAAAAGCGGAAACAGAGATCCAATGCCCCCTTTGGTTGGAGAGGGGAATTACTATAAGCAAGTAGTATAGTTACGGGATCAAGGATGGAGGAAGAACCATGGTGACATGGCTGTAATATTTACGTTCGTATCGTAATTTAAATTGCCCGGCGGCTGCGTGTGTTGTGGGTTTTCCCGGATGTGGGTTGGGTTGGGTCTTGTTACGGGTTAGGTACAGCGGGGAAGGAGGGAAGGATAGGGCGGATCGACGATCTAGTGCGTGGCGCGGCATGTTTGACGCTTGACCTGTTTTGCACGCCTTTTTTCGTGTGCTTGCGTGGGTTTTTGTGGTTTGGTTTGGTTGGGGGTCGGCTGAGCTGGGCGTGCGGTCTAGTTCGTAATGGTACCATTAACTATAATTGGTGTTGGCGGAAACGACAAAAACGGGCGTGGCCGTGGAGGGTGCGGATCTTCCATTATCTCATCAAGGCGTCATGGTGTCGTTGTTTTGTCTCAAATGTCACAAGTTCGGTCGCGTCGGCTGGGTGATGGACGGACCTCTTTCGTTGCGAGAACAGAAGAAGGGGGGCAGCGGACTGGCTTGAGCTTTGTCTTGTTTTTCTTTGTTAAATCAGGCTGTTTTGGGATGGTGGTGACGGGGATAGGGAAAAAAAGGTAGGTATAGTTGTGTTGAGTTATGGGGATAGATAGTCTTTTTTGCCCTTTTTGGGGGGCTGATTTCGGGAGTACTCGTATTACCGCGAGCGCTTGGCTTGTTCAAGGGCTGAGGTATCACCCTTTCGCAACCTCCTTACATTACTACTTCGCTGTAGTGGTAACATGTGTAACTTATTTTACGCATAACAAAGAGGACAGAGACAAAGAAAAGTCCCTGCATCCTGCATCTTATCCTCCTTGCGCTGTATCTACACCCAAGTACAGCTGGCTCAGATAACGGGGAGAGGGAAAGGGGCAGGTGGCATGCTGATCCTTCACCCCCGTTCCCAATAATTAGCATTGTATACCCCATGTTACTTTTTTCAGCCTTGACTACAGCTGTCATGCTCTCACTTGCGCCCGATTGCTGCCCTTTAAACTTGGCGACCTGATCTGATGGTTGTTGCTAAGGGGGCTTGAGTGTTAGTGGCTTGAGTCACAGGTCCCTATGTAGGTACGAGAACAAGGGAGGGGGGCTTTTTTCCATATGACCATCTAAGCAAGGTTGAGAACGGGAGAAATGTGAACTAGAAGGTGTACGCATGCAGGTGTGCTGCTGATTAGATGCAAGTACCAATTTGGTTGGGTTGGCACTTGTATTCGTATTTCGCTCCACGCTATGCTTCAAGACATCCATTCTCATTCTTCATTCCTATTGCTAACATTTAGGTGTACTGTTACTCCTACACAAATGCGCTCGTTTCGCTGCTGTGCGCCAATCCAATGGTATCTCGTTCATCGTTTATACACTTCAGCATTCCCTGTTGCTGTCGCCCAGATTACATGGTACATGCTTACCATCAATTCATTCATAGACACGTGGCGCATGAATTGTAGATAAAAAGGAAGAAGAAAAAAAGCATAACATGCAAAGAGGTTTGGAAATATTTCTAATAACAAAGAAAACAGCCAATACCATAACATCCTGCTACCTGACGTAGGTGTTGGAGTTGACTTGGCTGGCCATGACCATCATCCAGATGAGAAACACCGTTCCGATGATCCAGAATGCAAATTGGGCCTGCCAGCATTGGCCTATTTCCAGCTTGGTTAGTCTCTCCCATCTTTCGAAAAGAACGTATGGTTACTTACAGATATTCCTCTGCTGCAAAAACGCTAGCGTTTCCATGGTGGGTCCCCTTGCATCGTTGTTGAACACATAGGTATTGCATTGATTGTTGATGTTGGGTCCAGCGAAGAGTTGTATCGCAGTTCCAATGACGCCGGCGAGGAAGAGGACGAGCAGGATGAAGGAAAACAACATCATGACGCCAGGAAGGAGCTTCCGTTGCGCAATGTAGATGATTTCGATAATGATGAAAATGATAGCGAGAGTGCCTACCGTGACACCATACGGCATGATCCTATATGGAACTCGGGTTAGCAGTCGTCTCTAGGGAGAATTAAGGGTTGTTTGCATTTGCTGCTTGAGAATAGGTAGTAGACTTTCACATACCATGGCGTTCCCAAACCCATTCGATTCTGTATGTCCATGAATTGCGCATTCACGCCCAATATTAGCCCTGCTGTTGCTAGCATAACTATCGTCCAGATGTTCAGTTGTAAGTCTGGCCAGTAGTACTTTTCCCGTACTACTATCGCCGAGCCGACGACTGTGCCTGAGTGTCCTGCGCGCGCCATTTTTTCGATCTTTTGAGCCTTGAGGCTTTGTCACACGTGGTTTGCGATGGATTTGCGTTCAGTTGGGGTCGCACAAGGCGAGGGGGTTGTTGCGCTCGTGTAGCTGCAATGGTATTCCTAGGTGTGGAGCTGCGTTGCCTTGTTTACCGTCGGTTATCCGGAAACTGACTTGGCAGCGTCGCAATCTCTCTTCCCCTGTCCAGCAATTGACCAGATGTGCCTCTTTTCTGTTGATATCCAGTCTCTCACGGCGTTGTCTCCGAGTCTTTGCGCGCTGTCGTACGGAGGCTGTGGGGAATTGGCACAAGCGAATGAGTGACGTGAGGGTGCGGCTCAGACACGGCGGTATTGTTGCGGGGTGGAATGCGGAGAGTTCGGTGATACCAGGAGACCCCTTTCAAGGAGCAAAACTGAGGAGGAAAAAGAAAGGCAGGGAAAGATGGGCCGTGTACACAGTAAGAGGAACACAAAAGTCGTCCGAGCCCCTACAGAACCTGTTGTTGTTGATGCTTCCGCGGACCGCCGCGATCCCATTGAGGAGGCTGGGCTGGGATGGCTGGCACGTCGCCAATGAGTTTATTGGCCGCGGCACGAAGCTCCATCGGAAAAAAAGCCCAACCTTTCGACTGTCTCGGGTCTTTCGCAGCATCCGACAGCTGTGACGTTGACATCACGGCACGCATATGCTTTGCTTATTCTAGCACATGTTGGGAATTACCGAAGTTCGTCTTGTCACCCGCGTCTTTGATTGTAGGTTAATTAGTGGCCGGTGAAAACCATCAGCATACAACAAATGACCACTTCCAAAATGAAATGATGCGCAATCCCACATGCTTCTTTGTAAAGTTGTTTTGGTGACATGTCAGAAGTTCGGCATCTGGTGCCTCTCAAGATTTCAGTGATGTGGCGCCATCTCTCTCAACCCCAACAGTCAACCATGATCACCACGTACAGTGCTTCTCAACTTCCCGTCTTTGCGATTGCTTGTAAAATCGAGAGTAATTTGGCTAGAAAAATAACAATCCGCGCATCCATCTCAAAGTGTCCGCAACAGGGCGCCATATTTTCGACATGGTACAGTAATTCCATCGCAACTCCAAAACGCCGACAAATGATCATGGTATCGGTGGGTAATCGTAGGCTCGAGCCGAAACGGCAGCGCAAAAGGCAGCGCTTCTCCAGCGTGAGGTGATCGTCGTCCCGGGCCGAAGCATTTAGTATCCTCCTCGTCCACGTCCACCAAAGCCACCACCGCCACGTCCACCGCCTCTTGAGAAACCACCGCTTCCGCCGCGACCTCCACCACGGGCACCAAAGCCTCCGCGTCCAGGGGGTCCACCCCGTCCACGCGGTGCTCCACGGCCGCGACCTCCAAAGCCGCGAGAACCACCTCGTGGTGCTCCACGACCTGCGCCAGCGGGCTTCTTGACCTTCGTAACGCCGCCAACAGGCTTGGGCTTAGGCAAGAACCTATTTTTGTTAGCGCACTAGATGGACAGCCAGGTGAGCCACGTTACCTGTCAAGAGGGAGCAGCTTGTCGCCTCCAATGTAGAACTTGTCGCCAGCCTTGAATGACTTTGCTTGTATGCCCTCTTGCGGCTTGATGGTGAAGTAGACCTGGTTCAGCGGGCCCATGATCTCGTCAACTTTTCCAATGGGCGTCTGCAGATGGGTCAATCCTTTTTTCTCCTTGGCTTCCAGATTCGAAACATATGTACCTTGTTCTCCAGGTAGATTGGCGCATTGAAGTAGGGAATCTTGGTGTTTATCGATTCGCAGAACATCTCGTTTTCGCAGTCGTGAACAAATTTTCCCATTTCTTACAAAGAGTTAGCTCGAGCCTTTTCGCATCAAGGTGCTCTTCTTACCAACAACAGTGTCTGGGGGTCCGAAAGAAGCTCCCATTCCACCGCGTCCTGTGGCGCATTAGCTAGGAAATTCTGCACAGCTCTGAGCGTGCCACATACCACCACGCGCAGAGAATCCACCACGTCCGCCGAAGCCGCCGCCGCGACCGCCACGAGGAGTTCCGCGAAATGCCATTGTTTCTGTTGTGTTGAGAGTGGTCGGTGCGCGAAAGGTGAGCTTGTTCGAGAGCTTCGCGAAAAGTTCGAACTGAAAATGAAGTTGGAAAGTCAGGGCCAATCGGTCTCACGTTTCGCCGATGGATCCTGCCGCCGCATAACCCCACCAAATGCACCTGCCAAGGCCAAGTGGGCTGTCGTGGGCGTGGACCTTTCTGAAATTGTGTATGAGTCGGACGTTGCTTTGCATCCGGACTTGACCCTCCAGACTGGTTCGGAGACACTCTACTTGAGACAAGGTTCATCGCATTTGCATCCCATTCTGAGTCACCTCATCTTGTGCAGTGCTTGACTCACCACTGCTGTATACATACAAAAACCGCCCCGCGTGCTTGAGACTCGGCAGTAACAACAACATGGCGGACGCAATCAAAGATGCCGTCAACTCGGCCGTCGAGGGAGTGAAAGACCTGGCCGTATCTGCCGAACAGAAGGCCGAGCAAAAAGGAAACAAGGCCCCGAAACCGAAGAAGGAGAAAAAGGCCAAGGGTGATGCTGGCGATGGTCGTCCATTGATGCTTGACCCTGCACCAGCCTACATAGACCATCGTATTAAGATTTTGTAAGTGGTACTTGGAGTTTTGCGAAATCCATGCTAATCACGTCCCAGTGAGAAACTCAAGGCAAAGTACGACGAAGAAATCGCCCAGAAGCCCCGCGGTACGCTCGTCACTTCGACACGAGACCATTTTGCATAGTGCTGACTCATTGCTTTTGCAACAGAGAAAATCACCATTACGCTTGAAGACGGCAAGATTGTTGAAGGCGAATCATGGTCTACCAGTCCTGCCGACATTGCGCGAAACATCTCCAAGAGTCTGTTTGAGCGCACCGTTGTCGCGCGTTTGGACAAGGGAACACCGGAAGAGACACTTTGGGATCTTGAACGACCACTGGAGAAGAGCTGCAAGCTTGAGCTCTTGCCTTTTGACGACCCTGAAGGCAAGAAAGTCTTCTGGCACTCGAGCGCGCATATCCTAGGAGAAGCCTCGGAACGCAGATTTGGATGCGACCTGTGCATTGGTCCTCCTATTGAAGATGGATTCTACTATGAGGTCTGTTTTATTACAAAATTTCAAGGACACTGCTGATTATGTTACAGATGGCCCTCCCCGATAACGCTGCCGTTGATCCCGCCGACCACAAACCGCTAGAGACCATTGTCAACAGCATTGTCAAGGAGAAGCAGGTCTTCGAGCGTCTGACCCTGTCCAAGGACGATCTGTAAGACTTTTCATTCTTTTGCGGCGAATCTGTCTAACTTGTCTTAGGCTTGAGATGTTCAAGTCCAACAAGTACAAGCAGCACATCATCAAGGATAAGATTCCCGACGGTAGCTTCACCACTGTGTACCGAAACGGACCGCTAATTGATCTCTGCCGAGGACCCCACGTACCGCACACTGGACGGATAAAGCAGTTCAAGGTCATGAAGAATTCCGCATCATACTTCTTGGGTGATGCCAAGAACGACAGTCTGCAACGTATCTATGGTGTTTCCTTCCCCGACAAGGATGCGATGCAGCAACATCTCAAGTTCCTTGAAGAGGCTGCCAAGCGCGATCACCGCAAGATTGGAAAGGAACAAGAATTGTTCTTTTTCCACGAGTACAGCCCTGGTTCGTGCTTCTTCCTCCCACATGGTCAGATCATCTACAACACACTACAAGCCTTTCTGCGCGAAGAATACTGGAACCGTGGGTATCAGGAAGTCGGATCACCGAACATGTTCAATTCTGCACTATGGAAAATTTCGGGTCACTGGCAACATTACGCAGACGACATGTTCACTTTCGATGTCGAAAAGGAGAAGTGGGCTCTGAAGCCCATGAACTGCCCTGGACACTGCTTGATTTTCGGGCACCGTGAGCGTAGTTACAGAGAATTGCCTATTCGCATGGCTGACTTTGGTATCTTACATCGGAATGAAGCCAGCGGTGCGCTTACTGGCCTTACCCGTGTACGCAGATTCCAGCAAGATGACACTCATGTTTTCTGTACCCAAGATCAGATCACGGAGGAGATCTCTGCGCTGTTCGACTTCCTAAGAGCTGTATATGGAAAGTTTGGTTTCACATTCAAGCTGAAGTTGAGTACACGTCCTGAGGGCTTCCTTGGTGACATCGAGACCTGGAACAAGGCCGAGGCGAAGCTGACCGAAGCTTTGGATCAATTTACCGCTGAGGGTGGTGGCGCTTGGGAGCTTAACCCTGGTGATGGTGCTTTCTACGGTCCCAAGATCGATATTACCATTTCGGACGCTTTGAAGCGAGAGTTCCAGTGTGCTACTATTCAGCTCGATTTCCAGTTGCCTATCCAATTCGGACTTGAGTACATGACTTCTGAGGTCGTTCCTACAAAGGCGAAGGAGCAGCCGAAAGAAGTCGAACAGGCCGACCAGAAGAAGGAGAAGCCAGAAGCTACTGATGCTACTGTGGCCAAAAACCCCAAGGAACCACAACCAGGTTATGCAAGGCCCGTCATGATTCACCGTGCTATCTACGGTTCCTTTGAGCGTTTTATTGCGTAAGTCTTGACGCTCATTCGTGATCAGAACATTCCCACTAAACAGCTCCAGTATCCTCACAGAGCACTTCGCGGGTAGGTGGCCTTTCTGGCTATCACCTCGCCAAGTCATGGTCATTCCGGTGATGCCGAGCGCAAACGACTATGTCAAGGAAGTTCAGGCTGTGCTCCGCAAGAACCGTTTCCACGCCGACATCGACATTAGCGGTAACACTATGCAAAAGAAGATCCGCACAGCACAGTTGGCACTATACAACTTCATCATGGTTGTCGGTGCAGAAGAGCAACAGGCGAGGGCTGTCAACTGGAGAAACCGCGATGACCAAGAGACTCAACAGCGTGGCGTCATCGTGCCGCTTGATGAGGCTGTCGAGAAGCTGGTCAAACTGAGAGATGAGCGCAGGCTTGAGAACAAGGTTTAAATTAAGCTGGTGGAGAATGAACCATGACTGATGCATATGAGGCGTAAAGAGGCATGAAGATATGAACTGAGGAAGTATAGTGAGGCGGCGTGGCTGACATATGTCTGTTTAAATATCTGAGAGAACTGGAGAGTGCGGAATGGTTCTCTCCAATACCCCAAAAAGAACCCCAGAATGAATTTTGCTCAAGTATCAGCCGTTTGATTTGGTGTATGGTGATGGAAGAGTGAAAACGGTGCTCGTATGGCGAAATGTGATAGGAAACACCCCCGCTTTACTGGAAGAAACCAAGCGATCGATACCCTTGCGTGAGGGGTTTACTTTATTTGGTACCTATCAATTTATAGTATTCCACGGTCTCTGCACAGCTCGAGTGTTGCTCATGAATAAGCTACCTTAGTTTTCCCGACCGATTTGGATGGCTACGGTAGAGGTGCGCTTGGATTGCCAGGTTCGATGGTTGCATAATTGAAACTGTCACGATTGGCATGCTTGTCAAAAGCTTAGCATCTACTTATGCAGATAGAGTTCGAGATTATAATGTGCAGCGTAGATGCAGAGGATGTACCGTGTACTTACGTATGAGAAGAAAGTTCCAAGACATTGGTAGCCAATCAAGAGGCGGGGAGACGCTAGGGTAGGACCCTGCGTCCAAGTGCGCAGCCAACGGTCAGAACAAGCCCTTGTGGACTCGAGAATGAGGCGGGGAGATTGTACTGCCCCAAGCTTACAGTTGAATAGGGGTGGAGTTATGTACTTAGGTTACATGGTATGACGCCAGGTTTTCGCCTCACGAGCGTGCCTACTGTCGTCCATGCTTGCTTGCTCTGCTTCAATCGACGCTTCTTGGGTACACGCTACGTCATTCGTCACCCGTCACGGGCCCGGCCGTCCCTGTAATTAACTACTTGCCCAGAAGCTGTGCTTGCTCTCCTAACCTCCATACCATCCTCAAAAAATACCCACGTCAATTCACATTTCCCAATCACAATGACAGCTAATGCGCCCACGCTGATCAATCTGCCGCCGCCGCCATCTGGAGACGAGACTCCAGGCGATGCTCCGTAAGACATCATATGTCCCCGGCGGGGCTGAGTATTGACAAAGTCGACTAATACCATGCACACAGGGGCACACCCAATTCCGTTACAACTACCATG